CTTGCTAAATGTGAGTCTGTGAGTAAAAATTCCCAAACAAAACACCTGCCATATATGCACCAGCTCACTCCTGTCTCTACCTCTACCCCCACACACAGCTGATAAATGTATCTTCCTACAACATAAATTGGGTAAATATGGTACACTTTTAAGATGGGTGAAGGGGAGTGGGAGACACAGGACTCCAGTTGTGGAATGAGTAAGTCACGGGAATAAAAGGCACAGCATACAGAATACAGTCAGCGATATTGTAATAGCAATGTAAGGGGACAAATAGCTATACTTATGGTGAACATAGCACAGTGTATATAAACTTGTGACATCACTAAATTGTACATCTGAAACTAATGTAACATTGTGTGTCAACTATACTCAAAGAAAAAATATATATGGTTCTCTACCTTCAAAGTTCTCCATTTTTAAAACTTTTCCTGAGAATCCATGCAATTTGAATCTGTTATGTTTATACTTAGAAGTATACTCCTTAAGTATACTCCTTAGAAGTAATTGAATGTGTATTATATCTCCTCTGTTAAACAGTAAATTTCTAGGAGCTATATTTTCCTCTTCAGACTAAGAGTTTCCTGAGTTGTTGATATCCCCTTTAGTTCAGGTTCTTCCTGGCAAACAGAGAAATCACCATCAATGATTCCTCTTAGTATCTGCTTCAATGTTTTATCCAGTCTCATTCAAAAGAAACAACTGTTTTAAACATTACTTGAATTTATATATGTTTAGTCAGATTATTACTCCTTAAAAATAGAAATTATGTCTTCATTTTTCACTGTTTCAACACCAGTACATTCCACAGCACTTGCCAAAATAAAAATGGCCAAAATATGTAAGAAAAATATTTGCAAAGTTATGTAAAAGTTGTTAATTCAGTAAGCATGTATTAAATTAGCTATTATTAATAAAGTACTATGCTTATATCTGTGCATGATAGATTAATTTTAAAGTTCAATGGCTGTTTTCAAAAATTTTTAAGTCAGTCAGGGAAGATGGCCCTAATTGCCTATAAGACAAAGATTTATTAATGGCACCTAGAAGAAGGAAAAGGCAACTACTAGGGGCGGGTGGAGAGCAGGTGAATATTTCAGTTATAGAGCACAAAACAATCAAAGACAAACAGCAAGGTATTTATGGTATTTTTTTCAGAAGTGAAAACATCCCAGAAGAGTGTTATCTAACATGCCTGCTAACCTGGAGGTAGCTTGTTAAAATATAAATCCCCAGGCTCCATCTAAAGAATTTCTGATTAAGTAGTTCCAGGTTGGGGTTGAAGATATTAAGTTGTTCCGATGCCCTGGTTTTGAACCACAGTTAGTACAGCAATGGACAAAAGCAGGAAGTGGATGTCATATTATAAATTGGTGGTATGAAGACAGATTGTGAAGACCCATGGGGAAGCAGTTACAAGGGAAGATGAAGAACAAAAAAGTTACTGTGTTTTCAAGTGGGTGTTAAATGGAAATCAATTATTTCACTACCTGCAAAATTTTAAACACTCATTATTGAGCATTTTTAAACTGCAGGAAAGTACACAGAAAATATAAACAAGCCAATCTCTAATTATCGGAAGACAAGTACTTTGACATTTGGAACATATCTATCCACACTTCTACAATGTATTAGTGTGAGTGGATATGCAAGTGTATGTGTGTGTGTGTTCCCATGAAATATATACAGAAACAGTGATACATACCCTGTAAACTAATCTATCTTTTCCCTTAATAATATATAAATTTATACCTATGTCAGTATTTAGCTGGTTGCATGAGAGTTTATATTTTATTTAACCAATACCCTAAAATAATTGTTTAAGCAGTTTCCAGATTTGCATTGCAATGAATAATGATATGTTGAACATCACAACACGTCTTGGCCCACTTTCCCCCATTAGACACGTATTTTGAAGAATAAATCACTGGATATTACATAGTTAAAATTTTAATACATTTACCAAAGGGACCCGAATAACCCTTTTAAGAATTAAGTAAGTTTGATTTTTATTTGACTTCATGTTTTCTAGGCTTATTCATGTTCTGTGGCCATGGGTAGTCTATCTGGGGAAATAATAAGCATTACCAATAAATGGTTAGAATTACTGTAACTTAGACTTTCCTACTGAGGGAAATTATATCAAATATCCCTTGAATCATGCTGTACCTCAGAGGTTATAAGGCTGTTTAAACCCCAATTCATGACTTTATTTGTCCACTTTGTAGAAATATTTTACCTGTGGTCCTATTCTGTGCCAATGGAAGCATTTGTGACAAGGCCAAAGGTACACGAGACACAGTCCCTATCCCCAAGAATCTACATTCTTGAACTCACTAAATACGAAGCTATTGCATCATCAGAACAGAATGAAAGCATTTATAAATAGGCTTTTTCAATTCTGCACAGTGCCAGTCCTTTAAGACTCTAGGTTTTGAATCCCGGCCATGTGCCAAAGAAAAAATGCAGGGGAGTTGTGGCCCAGGGCCAGCTGACTGCCCTCACTATTCCGTGAGGGCTGCCTGAACAGCAGGGGTTGTAAGATCCCTGATCTGGGCAAGAGAGACTGGGGTGGTGCCATTTATCCCCAACGTCAACGAGGTGCGACTTCAGAAAGAAACACAGCAGCCCCCAGTGAAGTGGACCACCTTACACCAAACCCTGCCCCTCTTGCCTGGCAACTACTTAATTACTGGGGCAAGCCTGACTCTGAGCCAACTGGGTAGGCCTCTCCTCCAGAGCCAACATAGCCAGCACCCCTCATGCACCAAGTGCACTGAAAATCACGCCTCACCACTACACTGAGAGTTCTTTTCTCCTTTTGTCTTCCTTCTTTTTTTTTTTTTTTTTTTTTTTTTTTTTTTTTTTTTTGGAATCAGGCTCATAGTTTCTTGTTTGTTTTTTTCACTTCCTTTTTTTTTTAATCAGTCATTTTTATTGTTTTCTTTTTATTCTTTTTTCTTTTCTTCTGTTTTTTCATTTTCTTTGGAATCAGCCTTATAATAGTTTTTTGATTCTCTGTTTGGTTTTTTGTTGTATTGTTCTCTTTCCTTTTCTCTTTTTATGGGATCAGGCTTTACTCCTTCCTCTTTTTTCCAGAGTTACTTCAGAAAGCAAATCAAAGCACACCTAGTTAAAGGTCCAAACACTCCACCACTGCAAGCAAGGAGGAGCTCTGCAGAGGCCTGACCAGGGGGGAAAGAGCAGCCACAACACAACAGCGAGTGCACACAGCATGTACCAGAAACACTTCCTGAAGTGCCAAGCACTGGACAGTGTATGACCCCTTTTTAATACAGCAGTACTCTCTGGTACGAGAAACATATCAAGCTTTTAAAACAAATAATCCAAGGGTGACTGGGTGGCTCAGTCAGTTAAGCATCTGACTTCAGCTC